AGATGGTGCAATCTATAAAGGTCGCTTGGGTCTTCAACCAAACTGCTGTTGTTAATTGAATACTGTGAAAGCTGTTTTGCAGAACATTGCCATTTGAGTAATAGAAATATAGTGCATGTACCCTGTTGAAATATGTGCCATATTAGCTCTGTCAAAAGAGGTGTATATATATGATAAAATCAGCTCTCCCTGTGGAAATGCCTGTGTAGATAGAGTTCTTTCCCGTGTTCTTGTCAAGCCTGGGAACTGATGACTGATAACAGAACTGATTCCGTCTCACTCCAGCTCGAGACATTTCCCCTGCTTCAGCTGTGTGGGTTTCTGGGTTTTTTTGCAGTATGGTGTACTGTAGCCACAACAGGACAGAAGTACATTGTGCCTGGTCACTAGTCATCGTACATGACACTCAAGGTAAAATATTGCTGGTAACAGTATTTTAGTTCAGCTCTGTTGGAGAGCTTGCAGCATGTATGAAGATGAAGTATGGTGGTGCATGCTCTTGGTGTAAAAGTAATTCAATTAATCTTTAATTGTTATGTGTAGTAATGAATCATAGTAATTATATTAGTATAAAATGTAATTTTGTGTGTGTGTGTTTTTTTCTACTTACATGTTTAAAGACTAGCACATTCTCATTGCTTCCCTTCTGGCTAGTTTTCCTTTTGTACTTTTGCACCTTCAACTTTCCTGGCAAGGGGGAAATATTATCCTAATAGTTCATTATATTGGTTATTTTTTCTCCATGGCATTATAGTGAATAAGTAATAACTGATTAGCAAGCTCTCACTTAGAATGCTAATGAATTTTTGAGAGAGAGAACCAGCTCATAAAAAGGAAAAGCTTTCAAACTAATAGGATGTCATTACATAAAATAACTTATGGTTTGATGATTGCACACTGGATTTAGGGTTTTGCTGTAGTCTGTAGCTCTGGATTCTGTTCTGGCTTTGCTTTTCACTTAGAACATGTGCTTGGACAAGTCAGTTTATTGTTCTTAATCTTCATTATGCTACATAAGAAATTTTATAGCGCTGCCCAGGATTATTAAGCAATCTGGTGTTTACCATGTGGTGTTTTGCCATAGGAAATTGTTGATCCTAAAACATCACTAGATTTTAAAAGGAGTGGGAGAGTTGTGTGGGAAGCAGCAGCACCCAGGCATTAAATAGTTACTCATACAGTAAGAAAAGTTTGTTACATTTATTTTAAGGCTTAAACCAGTCTCTTACTGTAAGGAATTGGAAGGATTATACATGGAGAAACAGCAGCCATACAGCTTAATGATACAGAAGCTTTCTCAGAAGCATTAATTGTTACTAGCTGTATTATCATATTCTTGCATTGATTTGTAATAAAATATCTTGTGATTGATGTGTCTTTGAACCTTGAAACAAAACAATCAATCCTAAGATAGTTAGAAAGGCAATGCTAACGTAAGAAGAGATGAACAGCTTAAAGACTATATTGGTCTTCAGTTACCAAGAAGAAATGAATTATGGTCTTCCTATTTTGTTCTTTGATCAGTGCTAATTTTCAATGTGGTCCTTAGCTATTGTAACATACAGTCTTTATACTAAATAATGCATGCAAATGCTTTCAATTTTCATTCTGGATCTTGTAATTTAGTAAATGATCTATGTATTTAAAATGTTACTACTTTTTTTTTTTTTCCTCTGGCATTGTCTGCATGTGCAAGGTGGGGAGTAATGCGGGTGAAGCTGTTTACTTTTTCACTTTCTGGAAAGACAAGAGTATTCATGTGTCAACAGCATGCCCTGGCAGCCAAAAGGGCCAGCCATGTCCTGGGGTGCATCAAGCTCAGTGCAACCAGCCGGTCGAGGGAGGTGATTGTCCCACTCTGCACAGCACTGGTGTGGCCCCAGCTCAAGGACTGTGTGCAGTTTTGGGCACCTCAGTATAAGAACAACATCAGGCTACAGGAATGTGCCTGGAGGAGGGAAACCAAGAAGGGGAAGGGTCTCCAGGGCAAGAATTGAGAGGAGTGGCTGAGGTCATGTGGTGTGTTCAGCTTGGAGATGAGAAGGCTGAGGGGGGACCCCAGGGGTGGCAGCAGAGGGGGGTGTACTGATCTCTATGGTGACCAGTGACAGAGCATGAGAAAATGGAATGAAGCTATGCCAGAGGATGTTTAGATTGGACATTAGGAAAACGTTCTTCACTGTGAGAGTGGTGGGTCACTGGAGCAGCCTCTCCAGAGAAGCCATCACAGCACCAACAGTGTCAGAGTTCAGTGAGTGCCTGGACAATGTAGTAGTATGTAGTAGTATGTAGCAGTATGGTTTAGTTTTAGGTAGTCCTGTGAGGAGCAGGAAGTTGGACTCAATGATCCTTACAGGTCCTTTCCAATTTGAGATATTCCGTGATTCTGTGTGCTCTTTCTATACTGACCATACTAGAATGTTTTTCTGTTTCTACATTTTAGGTGCCTTATCAGGAGCCAGAGAAAGCTGGGAGTATGATTCAGGAGCAAGAGACCTTCAGAGTCCAGATCTCCAGAGTAATTTTCCACTACAAAAGATGTTGGAGTATGGGGGAAGCAATGTGACTCATCAGGCTGCTCTGCAAAGACTTCTAGCTCATGCCTCAGATTTTAGCAGCTCTGTTGGAGGAAGCTATTTAGAACTTGCCGACAGTGTAAGTGCATTTAAGTTGTGTAGAAATTTTTCCTGTTTTGTTCTTTTGTTGTTTGTTGTTTTGTTTTTTTTCTTTCAAAAGAAGCATATAAATTCCAGCTTTAGGGCCTCTGAGCCTTCTTGGAAACAGTGCCATGCTGCTGTTGCCTTTCATTTACCAGAAAACCAATGCGATTTTAGCAGTTGGTAGGTGTACATTATGTAGAGCTGTTTTTCATTAAACAGGGTAGGAGTCTGTGAAGAGTCACACTGAAGTTCTTAATTTGTACAACCTAACAGAATAGGAGTTCTGTCTGAAAACTATCTATCAATTTATTTTTGTAAGCATTGTGTCAAATTGTACAGAAGTGTTGTGCAGAAATTTTTTTCCCATGTTATTTCATTGTTGCCCACTAAATGGTCTGATTTTTTAAAAACCCTTGGAATGCTAGTACTGTGCTTTTTTATTTCTACAGGCAAGAACAGTTCTTCTTTGTAAAAATACATATAATGGCTGAAGGAGTAGGACACTATTTTTTCCTCTACCAACAGAGTATTGGGATCAAGTTTGTGTTTTTATGTTAAGGCAGATGGGTTATGAAAGACTAGCCATTTTTGTAGCATGATTGTCATTTATGTTGCAAAGGAGTTTAAATAGAGAAGTAAAAGATGCTAAAATGAAAGCAAAAGGTTTCTCATTTTTAATATGGCTACTTATTGACACACTGGACTTCAATGAAATGGACTCCTAGTTCATAGTATCATAGAATAATTCAAACTGTCAGATAACCTCAGGAGATTGCCTAGGCCAACATCCTGCTGACTTTCTATCTAATGGCAGTGATTGTTGGCAACAGAGGAAAGTCAACTTCTTTAAGCTATATTATTTGAAAAGAAAGTTATTAAAAACATTCTGAAGGGCTTTCAAAAGCCTTTTAAATTCGATTTACGTTCCTGAACGTGAGCTGATACAGGACCTAAACTTTCCATATCCTGAGTAAAAGTAGTTATTAAACTTATCTAGGGAGAGAAGAGTTCAAGGAAGTTGACAGTGCCACTGTAAGGAATTGGAAGGGTTATACTTGGAGAAACAGGAGCCATACAGCTTAATTATACAGAAGCTTTCTCAGAAGCATTAATTGTTACTAGATGTATTATCATATTCTTGCATTGATTTGTAATAAAATATCTTGTGATTGATGTGTCTTTGAACCTTGAAACAAAACAATCAATCCTAAGATAGTTAGAAAGGCAATGCTAACGTAAGAAGAGATGAACAGCTTAACGGCTATATTGGTCTTCAGTTACCAAGAAGAAATGAATTATGGTCTTCCTATTTTGTTCTTTGATCAGTGCTAATTTTCAATGTGGTCCTTAGCTATTGTAACATACAGTCTTTATACTAAATAATGCATGCAAATGCTTTCAATTTTCATTCTGGATCTTGTAATTTAGTAAATGATCTATGTATTTAAAATGTTACTACTTTTTTTTTTTTTCCTCTGGCATTGTCTGCATGTGCAAGGTGGGGAGTAATGCGGGTGAAGCTGTTTACTTTTTCACTTTCTGGAAAGACAAGAGTATTCATGTGTCAACAGCATGCCCTGGCAGCCAAAAGGGCCAGCCATGTCCTGGGGTGCATCAAGCTCAGTGCAACCAGCCGGTCGAGGGAGGTGATTGTCCCACTCTGCACAGCACTGGTGTGGCCCCAGCTCAAGGACTGTGTGCAGTTTTGGGCACCTCAGTATAAGAACAACATCAGGCTACAGGAATGTGCCTGGAGGAGGGAAACCAAGAAGGGGAAGGGTCTCCAGGGCAAGAATTGAGAGGAGTGGCTGAGGTCATGTGGTGTGTTCAGCTTGGAGATGAGAAGGCTGAGGGGGGACCCCAGGGGTGGCAGCAGAGGGGGGTGTACTGATCTCTATGGTGACCAGTGACAGAGCATGAGAAAATGGAATGAAGCTATGCCAGAGGATGTTTAGATTGGACATTAGGAAAACGTTCTTCACTGTGAGAGTGGTGGGTCACTGGAGCAGCAGCTCCAGAGAAGCCATCACAGCACCAACAGTGTCAGAGTTCAGTGAGTGCCTGGACAATGTAGTAGTATGTAGTAGTATGTAGCAGTATGGTTTAGTTTTAGGTAGTCCTGTGAGGAGCAGGAAGTTGGACTCAATGATCCTTACAGGTCCTTTCCAATTTGAGATATTCCGTGATTCTGTGTGCTCTTTCTATACTGACCATACTAGAATGTTTTTCTGTTTCTACATTTTAGGTGCCTTATCAGGAGCCAGAGAAAGCTGGGAGTATGATTCAGGAGCAAGAGACCTTCAGAGTCCAGATCTCCAGAGTAATTTTCCACTACAAAAGATGTTGGAGTATGGGGGAAGCAATGTGACTCATCAGGCTGCTCTGCAAAGACTTCTAGCTCATGCCTCAGATTTTAGCAGCTCTGTTGGAGGAAGCTATTTAGAACTTGCCGACAGTGTAAGTGCATTTAAGTTGTGTAGAAATTTTTCCTGTTTTGTTCTTTTGTTGTTTGTTGTTTTGTTTTTTTTCTTTCAAAAGAAGCATATAAATTCCAGCTTTAGGGCCTCTGAGCCTTCTTGGAAACAGTGCCATGCTGCTGTTGCCTTTCATTTACCAGAAAACCAATGCGATTTTAGCAGTTGGTAGGTGTACATTATGTAGAGCTGTTTTTCATTAAACAGGGTAGGAGTCTGTGAAGAGTCACACTGAAGTTCTTAATTTGTACAACCTAACAGAATAGGAGTTCTGTCTGAAAACTATCTATCAATTTATTTTTGTAAGCATTGTGTCAAATTGTACAGAAGTGTTGTGCAGAAATTTTTTTCCCATGTTATTTCATTGTTGCCCACTAAATGGTCTGATTTTTTAAAAACCCTTGGAATGCTAGTACTGTGCTTTTTTATTTCTACAGGCAAGAACAGTTCTTCTTTGTAAAAATACATATAATGGCTGAAGGAGTAGGACACTATTTTTTCCTCTACCAACAGAGTATTGGGATCAAGTTTGTGTTTTTATGTTAAGGCAGATGGGTTATGAAAGACTAGCCATTTTTGTAGCATGATTGTCATTTATGTTGCAAAGGAGTTTAAATAGAGAAGTAAAAGATGCTAAAATGAAAGCAAAAGGTTTCTCATTTTTAATATGGCTACTTATTGACACACTGGACTTCAATGAAATGGACTCCTAGTTCATAGTATCATAGAATAATTCAAACTGTCAGATAACCTCAGGAGATTGCCTAGGCCAACATCCTGCTGACTTTCTATCTAATGGCAGTGATTGTTGGCAACAGAGGAAAGTCAACTTCTTTAAGCTATATTATTTGAAAAGAAAGTTATTAAAAACATTCTGAAGGGCTTTCAAAAGCCTTTTAAATTCGATTTACGTTCCTGAACGTGAGCTGATACAGGACCTAAACTTTCCATATCCTGAGTAAAAGTAGTTATTAAACTTATCTAGGGAGAGAAGAGTTCAAGGAAGTTGACAGTGCCTTAAAGGAATTGTGTCCTTATTTTCCCTGGGAAGGATAGTAAGGGATCAACGGCGATAAATCATAAACTCTTTTTTAAAAAATCATAAATCTTGAAGCTTCTTAAGAGCAATATAGGTGTGCAAAAGGAGTGGCTTGCATACTTTTGTTTCTGGAGTAGGAACTGTGAGTTGCTGTGTCCTTCTTGGATCTGGAATTGATGCAAGTTTCAAGATGAGTATGTACTTATACATCCTCTGTCCATGCTCCTGGATGGTTCCAGAAATGGGTAACCTGTTGTATGTTTGCAAATACTAAGTCAGAGATGTACAGTGTTATTCAAGAATGTACAAGGTGAAGGCTACTGCATTGCTGTGACATGTAGATATCTTAGAAATAAAAATGCTGAAGACTCATGATAAATAAAAGTCCCTATATATTATGGCTTTCTGTTTATTTCCATCTCTAAATTCCTTCTATGCTTACGAAAGGTGCCTGATCTTTGTTTTAACAAGCATCTGTTATTCTCCTGCTTTTAAAAATTCTTTCTATGTTCTTTCAAACCATAGCAGAATTGTCAGTCTCTTGTTTGTATGTGGATGAACACAATAGCATCTCTGTTTGACTCCAGCTGCACATTGGTGGCATGGTTCTTATATAAATTTTTGCTTTGGCTTTATTAAAATGGAAAGAGAAAGGAATGGGAGAAAATTGAGAGAATTATTTACTTTGCTTTTCATGTTTTTTAATACCGAGGGGCATGCTTACTGCAGTCTGAAGTAAGAATTTTGAGGGAAATAAACATACCTTTCTTAGAGCTGTGATTTGGTATGGGTACTTTCTTCACTGTTTCTCAGGTTGTTTTAGCTAACTGCATTTGCCACAATGACAAATTGAGCTACTCCCTTGCATTAATTTTCAGAAATGACAAATCTCAGCTTTCACATTTTTATGTGTTGAATCCAGGGAACTTTTCCAGTTGTGCACAAGGAGCTGAGCAGACTCCCTTGTTCTGTAACCAGGATTACTTCTAGCAAACTGGTGGAGGTTTAATAATTGCATTCCTTTCCTTCAGGAGTTGATCGTATTTCTTTTTGTAAAGCCATGCAATAGGAGAAAGATTTAAAAACAGTCTCTGTGTAGACATTTCTCTCTGGAACTTTAAATGCTCCCAAAGTTAACCAGAGATGTTTATCTTCTTCAGAACGCTTATGAAAAAGCAGAGCAGAGCCTTTCTGTGCCATCCTGCCCACAGGTGAAAGTTTCCTGGCAGCCTCTCCCAAATGCGTCTACACAGGCCATATGGACACTCTTGAAAGTCATATTTTTTGGCATTTCTTTGTAGATGTTTAGACTCAGAGATCTAACAAAGTAACTATTTTACTGGTGAACATAAATCAGTTAGGTGCTTTCTACTTAGATGTTGTGATTGTTTTTTCTCTGAGCACCTTGAAGTGCTTTTCCCTATAGGAGTGTCAATTCTTGTTATTAATTTCCTGGTTTTCTTTCTGACAACCTTCTTTTGATTTTAAACTGTGCAGTGAGGCTAAAGACAACCTTGTGGTGACTATGTACTTTTACAGCCTAAGTTATACTGCTTAGTCAATACAAAGCATCTCCACACTGCCCTTTACACTTAGGTTTTCCATTTGCAACATCTAAATGAACATAAGCCAGCTTAGTTTTTATAAAGTGAATATTTTTAATGTATTTTTTAAATCCTGTGAACATACAGTTCTGCAGAGCTTTATAAAAACAAAGTACCTGCTCTGAAGCATTATTCCCATTTCTTCACAGGAGCGATGCAATTAAAAAAAATATGCTGTTTGAAATTTAAACATTAATACTCAGTGTGTATCTTTTTGTCTGTTCTTTTCACGTCATTTTTGCTATGTTTTGGTTTATTAACACATGTTCAGATTTAGCTTTTGTTTTATCAGAGTAATTTATTCTGCAGTCCTCGTAGGGTGTGTAACTCTGTTTTTCAGGTTGATATTTTTACATCTAAATATTAATAACATTTCTCTTTATAGTTGTTCTCCTTGGTACCAGTATTTATGACTAACATATTGAGCTTTAACATGACCTGTCACCGCTTACTGTACCTGTTCATTGCCAATAAGTTAAATGCTACACCAAACATCTCTGATGGAAGTACTTGTTTACTTTCCAGCTGTAATAGCTTATGAGCTTGGTTTGTATTGCATTGGCATGTAAATAATTTAATTATTCTTCACACGTAGAAAATAATTCAAAGGATTTATTTTTGCATGTGCATGTTTGAGAGTTGTTTGTGATTTGTACTTGAATCTTAGAAGTTGGAGAAGGTGTACTAATGTGGATAACTGTAGTGAAACAGACAACTAATTAGGTTTCAGATCTGTTCGCTTTCTAGGCAGCCATGCACTCAGGAGGGATAGCACTCAGTTGTCGGTGCTGAAGTGTTGCTGTTTTCTGAAAATAGTGCACAGGGCAGCCTCTTAATATGATAGACATATTTCACATTAGAATTCCAGTGAAATTTAATAAGCTGAAGCAATGGGGCTTGGATATATTTAATTCCCTTTTCATGTTCTCCTTAAACGTGATTAAAATAGACTAGATTAACTTGTAATTTTTAAAATTTTTAGTAGAATATGTACATAAAAGTTATCAAATCTCTGTGCCTACTGTTTCTGTTGTCCTAATTCAGTGTTGTCACAAGTAGCTATACTTACATAGGTAAAAGCAATTTGGATTGCTTCATTTATTTTTTTTTTTAACTCTCCAGTCCCTGCACTGGTGTGATCCAGGATCCTTTTAATCTCTGATATTTCCTTCCAAAGATACTCCAGCTATATTGGAAGCTCTTAGACTATACCTTCTTTGCCAGAGCTCTTTTGGTTGAAAACATTTAGAAAGATTTGATGAGAGTATGGTTGACTTGCAGAGGGA